TGTGTTGTTGTTGTTGTTGTTGTTGTTGTTGTTGTTGTTGTGTTGTTGTTGTGTTTTTGTTGTTTTGTTTTGTACAGTCATGGGATATGTAGATCCCTTCATCTCAATAAAGAGAATAACAACAGTGTATTTCGACCAAGTCGTCATACTGTACACTGTACTGTGACAGTGCAGTGAAGGCCTGGCAGCTGTGACGTCAGATGCACAACGCAGAGGGTGACCTCGATACATGACTTCAAATTCAAAATTGACAATTCAAAGACAAAGTTTGCTAAAGTTAAGATATACATAGCATCAAATCAGGTTCCACGCCGAGCATTTTGCTTGTTTTTATACGCTGATTCCGAAAATGAAATCAGTTTTTAGCTGCAATTATTATTACATGTATCAAAATTTCGCAAACGAAGTTTAATCCCGCACGGCGGCAAACTTCAATTTCAAAGGGATTCTGCGTCACACAGTGCCTGGCTTTGTCTTATATTATTATCTTATCTTGTCTTGCCTTGTTTTATCAGACTTCCTGGAAAAAACAAAACACTCAAAGTTTTAAGTCCTACAACACCCTGTACAGTGGCAGTACAGCAGTACAGAGTTAAAAATAATATACATATTTGTACCCATGCATGCGTCCAGCATTCCTGAAACAATCTTCCCCCATTTTTTTCCTTCATGCCTCACAACACTCTAAACAGTGACAGCAGATACGTGTATCACCATAATTTCTGCTACAAACTATCTCCCAGTGCGTCTTGTATGTTGTCGAACATGTCCATAACGGCCACTCAGTATCACAGAGAAAAGCAGTCGTTATAGACATGTGGCTGTTGTGGCAGATGAGTCACTTACTGAACTTGAATCTTGACTAGGCCTATGTCAACAGTTGGTTCCAATCTGAAATCTTAATTTAAATCTTTCCATTTCATTTCCATCAAATTTATTATCGATCTCGGGCTTCTTTGTCCTACACACTATCACTAAGGACTTTTGAAACAATTGAGCGCTATGAGGAGGCTTTGGGGTCTATATGTCATAAACACATCTGACCGTGGCCGCTTTGGACAGAGGCCGCTATGGACACCCAGGACAGGTTAGAATGTTGTTGTTGTTGTTATTGTTGTTGTTGCTGAGCAAAATTGAGTACTGCACGACAACAACAAAAATATGCTGGTACTTTCTTGCCTCTATCAGATCGTGGACTCCATCATGGCTCTGTTTCGTGTGGACTTCAGTGGCCGGGGCGAGCTGGCAGACAGGCAGCAGAAACTTGCCCAGCTGCTCTCTCGGTTGCAGAAAATTGCTGAAGGTTAAACCCGTCGTTTTATTATCCCTCTGCCTGC